GGGGGGGGGGGGGGGGAATGTTTATGGAATTTTAAGCAAAGTTAAGCTCATTTTTTTTCTCTCCATTTTAAAGGTAAACTTTGATTCAAAGTATTGTAAAAAGGCCCTACTGCATTCAAGAAGGTCTATCATTGATTATCGTAACCCGAGCTGTGTCCTGCTTTCATAAAGATCTATGATTGATTGTCGTAAAGAAGCAGTCTGCCGACTAGTTTCACAAAGATCTATGATTGATTGTCGTAAAGAAGCAGTTTCCTACTATTTTCAAAAAGATCTATGATTGATTGTCGTAAAGAAGCAGAATCCTACTATTTTCAAAAAAGATCTATGATCGATTGTCGTAAAGAAGCCAGTATGCCTACTATTTTCACAAAGATCTGTGATGGAGGTTTCTTCAATCCGACGCTGCTCTTTGGCTACGTCACTGTCCCCTTGTTTGAACTTCTCACTAAGCGCCGTCTTGTCACCGTTAGGCACAGGACTCTCGGCCACGACTTTTCTCTTCATGTTTGCGGAGCAGTTAAAGTAATACCTGTATAGAGACATAGAGGTGACACTAGCATTAGCTGAAAGATCGCAGCAGACATAGAGGTAACACTAGCATTAGCTGAAAGATCGCAGCAGACATAGAGGTAACACTAGCATTATCTGAAAGATCGCAGCAGACATAGAGGTAACACTAGCATTAGCTGAAAGATCGCAGCAGACATAGAGGTAACACTAGCATTGGCTGAAATATCGCAGCAGACATAGAGGTAACACTAGCATTAGCTGAAAGATCGCAGCAGACATAGAGGTAACACTAGCATTAGCTGAAAGATCGCAGCAGACATAGAGGTAACACTAGCATTAGCTGAAAGATCGCAGCAGACATAGAGGTAACACTAGCATTAGCTGAAAGATCGCAGCAGACATAGAGGTAACACTAGCATTGGCTGAAATATCGCAGCAGACATAGAGGTAACACTAGCATTAGCTGAAAGATCGCAGCAGACATAGAGGTAACACTAGCATTAGCTGAAAGATCGCAGCAGACATAGAGGTAACACTAGCATTAGCTGAAAGATCGCAGCAGACATAGAGGTAACACTAGCATTAGCTGAAAGATCGCAGCAGACATAGAGGTAACACTAGCATTTGCTGAAAGATCGCAGCAGACATAGAGGTAACACTAGCATTGGCTGAAAGATCGCAGCAGACATAGAGGTGACACTAGCATTGGCTGAAAGATCGCAGCAGACATAGAGGTAACACTAGCATTGGCTGAAAGATCGCAGCAGACATAGAGGTAACTCTAGCATTAGCTGAAAGATCGCAGCAGACATACAGTTAACACATGCATTGGCTGAATGACAGCAGCGGTAATAAAATTGTAGTTTAACTCCAAACATATTGGTCAAAAGAGCCAAAAATCAGCAGCTGGGCGATTTTTTTTTTTCAAAAAATTTGAGAGCCAAATTTTTTTTCAAGAAGCGTTCAAGAGCCAAGTTTTTCTAAGTCAAAACCGATTTGTGGCCGACTGGCCGAGCCGCAGTCTGGTTGCTAAAGAGCCGCAAGCGGCCCCCGAGCCGCGATTTTTCCACCACTGGTTTATTTGATAGGGAGAATTAAAAACAATTAACAAGATTCCTCCATTTCTATTATACTTACTAGAACTAAATCAAGGAGAGATATTATGTGGTAGGACTCCGTGCTATGCATATTTTATCAAGTAACATAAATTCGAACAAACCCTGGTCTACTTACGCATCAGTCTAAATCCGCCCTTGGCTACTCTTAGCTGCTTACCATACCAGTTTAAACCAGCCTTAAGCTACTTAACACACCAGTCTAAACCAGCCCTTAGCTACCTACCACACCAGTCTAAACCAGCCCTTGGCTACCTACCACACCAGTCTAAACCAGCCCTTGGCTACCTACCACACTAGTCTAAGCCAGCCGTTAACTACTTACCACAACAGTCTAAACCAGCCCTTGGCTACCTACCACACCAGTCTAAACCAGCCCTTGGCTACCTACCACACCAGTCTAAACCAGCCATTGGCTACTTACCACACCAGTCTAAACCAGCCCTTGGCTACCTATCACACCAGTCTAAACCAGACCTTGGCTACTTACCACACCAGTCAAAACCAGCCCTTGGCTACCTATCACACCAGTCTAAACCAGCCCTTAACTACTTACCACACCAGTCTAAACCAGCCCTTGGCTACCTACCACACCAGTCTAAACCAGCCCTTAACTACTTACATCAACAGTCTAAACCAGCCCTTGGCTACCTGCCATACCAGTCTAAACCAGCCCTTGGCTACCTACCACACCAATCTAAACCAGCCCTTGGCTACCTACCACACCAGTCTAAACCAGCCCTTGGCTACTTACCATACCAATCTAAACCAGCCCGTGGCTACTTACCATATCAATCTAAACCAGCCCTGCTCTATGCTGATCAGTATTATCCAAGACAGCAAACATTGAAATATGAGATGTACTAAGCTGAATCCAAGGCTGTATTCGTTGCCTTCGTTTCGATCGATGGGATAGTCTGAAAATGGGGAGGATCTTCATAGAGTCCGCGGATGCAATAGCAATTAATTTTGATCGGTTGACATTAACGTCTTCGTCAATCGGCATTCCCCGGTTATATATAAATACATATATATATATATATACATATTAGGTTCTAGTGGTTCGGTTAAAAATAAGTTTGAAGTAAACAAAACAAAACTAAGAAGCCTAGAGTGGGAATAAAGCGACACATATTGATTCTAATGTCTAACAAATATGTTTGAAGAATCGCCCAAGTTTGATCGTTTGTACACAAATGTCTGATTAATTAGTAACCATCTAGCCCGGGAGGCAGTTCCGAATTTCAAACTTCATTTATTGTTTTCACTCTCTCTCTCTCTCTCTCTCTCTATCTCTCTCTCTTTCTCTCTCTCTCTCTCGTTTGCCCGTTCTTACTTTCGGTTGCGTTCGTTCTTCCTTTATAATGTATTACAAAGAGTTACGTATGATTCTTTATTTTAATTTCTCTTCTTTAATCAAAATGTTAAGTTTTAAAAAAGTATTTCTTTTATATTTTTATTCTTTCTTTCTTTAGCTTTTTAATCTCTTGTCTAGCAACGTTAAGGAATGTAATAGACACTGATATTTTATGCCGTGACCTATTTAAGGAATGTAATAGACGCCGATATTTTATGCCGTGACCTATTTAAGGAATGTAATAGACACTGATATTTTTATTCCGTGACCTATTTAAGGAATGTAATAGACGCCGATATTTTATGCCGTGACATATTTAAGGAATGTAATAGACACTGATATTTTATGCCGTGACCTATTTGTCTACCATATTTTCCAGTTAATGCATATTGGCTGTGTTGCTTAGGGTTGAAATGGCTAGAGAGACTTTGACATTGTATGCTTGTAATTAGTTTTTGTAGTGTTGCTTTTGTTTTAAATGTGGTAAATTATAGATTAGTTTTTTTGTTGACTTTGTACCGCGCTTCGAGCCTTTGGGGATGAAGCGTGTTTTTTTAAATAAACTTTATTATTATTACTATTATTATTTAAAGAATGTATTTAAAGAAATATATTTTATGCCGTGACTTATTTAAGGAATGTAATAGACGCCGATATTTGATGCCGTGACCTATTTAAGAAATTTGTAAACGACGCCAATATTTTATGTTTTGACCTATTGAAGGAGTCTAAAAGACGCCGATATTTTATGCCGTGACCTATTTAAGGAATGTAGTAGACGCCGATTTTTTTTCGTGACCTATTTAAGGAAAGTAGTAGACCCCTATATGTATCCCATGACCTATTTAAGGAATGTAGTAGACGCCGATATTTTATTCCGTGACCTATTTAAGTAAAGTAGTAGACCCCGATATGTATCCCATGACCTATTTAAGGAATGTAGTAGACGCCGATATTTTATTCCGTGATCTATTTAAGGAAAGTAGTAGACCCCGATATGTATCCCATGACCTATTTAAGGAATGTAGTAGACGCCGATATTTTATGCCGTGACCTATTTAAGGAAAGTAGTAGACGCCGATATGTAGCCCATGACCTATTTAAGGAATGTAGTAGACGCCGATATTTTATTCCGTGATCTATTTTAACAAATCAGATATAATTTCGGGAGAAAAAATACAACATCGTCTTACTTCACCTTCTAGCTGTCTGCTTATTTCCAAAGTCTGAAATTGTTCGAGACTCCAGTAGAGTGCGTAACTTGGTATGGCCAGGGACATGAAAACGCCAGGATAGTACGTGTAATAGGCTAAGCTACTCGCTTCCACGCTTTCCATTTGAAACTCGATCAGAGCAAAGCCTTGATTTAAAAAAAAAAAAAAACACAAAAAGAGCAACATTGTTCAAATAAGAACAAGCGTCAGGGCTAAGGGAAATAAGTCCCCGATCAGCCTCGCGATAATCCCACATTTTAACCAAGTAATGTGTTTAGATTTGAGTCACATGATATGTCCTGGGTTTTTTTTTTTTCCTTTTTCTAAGAATAGTTTCATTATCGTGGCATGATTTTATGGTTAGACATTTTTGGAGTCGACGAGGGGTTGCATTTTATTCTGTCATTCAGTGAACTCATCATTATACCAATCCTTCTATCAAGCTACTATCCCCAAAATTAAACCAATAATTCTCAGTAGACGGGATTAATGAAGAAACGACAAGAAATAGTTAAGTATTTTTATATTTTTAAAAAAAACTACACACTAGCTATTTATTTTATTGTCCTATCTTTCTATCTCAAGATTTCTCATGCAGCGTTCGTCTATTTCCTTCAAACAGCATGAACCCTTTTCTTCATTTATTAAGAAATACAATATTCCTTGCATCTCCTACACCGACGATATATAAATGAATCCCACAAACGGGGTATGGGGTAGTATAAGTTCAATAATGTTATATTGAAATGACTTCAACTCATTTCGATCAAATGTGGCATGATTAGCTTACCCAGCACCAAGTTAAAAATGACCACAGCGTTGACCCCGTTGGTTGGCGACGTGAAGAGCCAATGAATGCAGTAAATGAAGGGCAGCATCGCCAGCCCGAACGCGACCAGGACGCTGGAGAGGACCATCCACTGGCCGTCGGCCAGGAAGACGTCCGGGTAGTAGAGCAGAGCCAGCATCATGGTGATGACGATGAACAGGAACACGGACATGTCGAACAGGAAGTGACCGATCCAGAAGATGATGGGATGGACGTCGGTCAGCATCTGAAGGTGTTTGGCCCCTGTCTTGATGAGAGGATAGAATCCACAAACGCATAGGTTTGTTTTTGGTCTCATGATGTGTCCCATTAAATCAGTGCTTTGGAAACAACCCGAACTTTAGCGTTGTCATTACTGATCTAGTCAACCACATTATTTTAATTTATGGAACAGATCGTTTCAACTTTTGAGTTAAGGAGTTTGGTGTAGGCACAATTTATTTATTGTCAATGGAAATGGCGCTCGTGACAACAACAAAAAAATTGATGTAGTTTATTATTTTAGACATAAACTGACGTCATGATTTCATATATTAAGAATATTCTTTAGGAATCTTTTATAATGAAAGGTGCTTACCATACTGAATTGAATCTTAAATCCATACAAACGTTCGCGCTGCTAGTGACTTTTAAAAAAAAACAACAACATTCAAGCAAGTTATGTTTTAACAGACCAACGGCTGTCCCCTATTGCACAAGCTTGGAGTCGTTGACCAATCAAAAAGCAATTACTGGTCCGTAACTATCACATCTTTTTTTTTAAATCTTGAAATGCGTTCTTTATTATTATTAATATTTTTATTTGGACATACATTTTTCTCTCCAATGAGTCCGTGGATAAACACTGCAGGCAAGATAGCACAAATAAGTTTGATGATGGGCAGGGTTGTATCACTCGAGATCGTATCTTTGGTGACTAAATGGTGCACCCCCGTTTGGACTGAGAAGTTTTCTCCAATGGCGTACTTGACGTGGGCATTGAGAAGGAACTGTGTCTGTAAGGATAGTCAACATTTTCAAGAGCAGTACTGTGTAGAATTACAATAAAACAGTCAACATTTTCAATAGCAGTACTGTGTAGAATTAAAATAAAACAGTCAACATTTTCAATAGCAGTACTGTGTAGAATTAAAATAAAATAGTCAACATTTTCAATAGCGGTATTGTGTAGAATTACAATAAAATAGTCAAAATTTTCAATAGAAGTACTGGGAAGAATCATATTGAAATAGCAAGCATTATCAATAGCATTACTGTGTAGAATTAACATAAAATAGTCAAAAGATTCAATAGCAGTACTGTGTAGAAATAAAATGTACAAACTAAACTACTTTTATTAACAGTAATGTGTATAATCACAATACACTAGCAAAACTTCACATAAAAACTGATGGACTGTATTCACGTTTTGTAAATGAAATATAAGGACAAGGTATGCTCAACTTGAATTAACAGACAAGACAAAAGATTTGGACGATTCGGCTTAGAGCCTTCATCAGCAAACAAAGACAGAAAGAATTATGACAAGTAACCAAGCACAGTAAAAAAAAAAAAAACTTTAGAGATTTTACTTTTGTTGCCTGAGGTAGGCTTACAGGAAGTGAAAGAATACGAAGGCTATACATTTTTGAAGTTCATTAATTGCCATGGCAATGCTGCCACGGTAAGAAGCTTTTAAAAACTCACCAAAACTAAAAATTAATATCGAACCACGCTCATATTAACCGATCTCCCTAACAATTTGACAGCCGAAAAAATATTCTTGTCGACCCCGACAATAACAGGCTATTCTCATCCCCTCCAATCATCGTCTTCAGGCGGGACAAAATCTAGGTGACCTTCTGGTTCATAGTCGCCTTCGAGCTGACCCGTCTGACATTGGGACTAAACAATGCTCAAGACGCCGATGTAGGACGTGTCCCTTGCACACCCCAACCAAAAAAACACTCGCCTCCTTTAAGGTACCTTTACCATCAAAGAGAGTTTCACATGCGTTAGTCGGAATGGGATATATTATGTGATTATGTACCCTAGATGTCACTCTAGTTATATAGGAGAAACAGGGAGAAGATTGGCAGAACATCGTCGGGATATTGAACAAGTCAAACTTTCCCCAGTCTCTTCACACTTCAACAGAGGGAAACATAAAGGTGCATTACATTTATCCATTAAGGCACTGATTTTTTTTTGCACAAACAGAGAGAGTGAAAATGGACAACAAATTTATTCAGCTTTTCGGCACCATATCTCCAAATGGTATGAATCAAATACTGTTTCTAAATTTCCCTGTATTTCTTCTTTTGTTTCTTGTTCCTTAGATTTCGTGTATCCCTAAATGTTTTGGTCCGTTAAGATTCTCTACCTTATTTTTCACAGTACCAATATTTATATTATTTCACTTCCTGTAATCCTACTTCCGGCAACAAAAGGAAATCTGTAAAAAAATTTTTTACTGTGCTTTGTTACTTGTTCTATTTCTATTTGTCTTGTTTGCTGATGAAGGCTGTAAGCCGAAACTTCGAACTCTTTTGTCCTGTCTATGAATTCAAGTTGAACATACCTTGTCCTTATATTTCCAACCTTCACGGTAGCAATACTGTGTAGTATCACAATAAAATAGTAAACCTTTAGTTCGGCAGTACTGTATACAATTAAAAATATAAAACAGCAACGAAAATAATTTTATTTTTTGCGGTCACCACAGCGTGAGGAACTGCATTAAAGGGAAGGCTGAGAACCTCTGCTTTACAATAACAGTGCTGTGAAGAATAAGAATCCAGGCTACAAGGTTAAAAAAAAAAAGCTTTGCTGTCATTAAAAAAGTTATCTAAGCTTCACCATTCCACTATGTGTTTTGGATTAGTCTAACACTTACGGCAATAGCCTCTGAGTGGATGGCCGACCCTTTGAATAAACCAACGCTGATATTAGACTCCGGGTGAGTGAGGTATGCTCCTATGAACACTTTTAAGTCGAACATTTTCTTCTGTTGACCCATGGCGAAATCCATCATAAATCTACCCGGTCTGGACTCCTAAGGAGTATAAGAAACATCTTTAGCCTTACCCCCCCTTTTAGTTTTCGCTAATCAAATGAAACGTAGTTTCTGTTGTGTGAAATGGAAATATGTCTCAAGCATGATTGTGCCGCTGGCACGAAACATTTGGAAAGCTCCTCTTAAAAGCATTGTGTTAGCTAATGCAATTATTTATATTTTGCAGAGGATTCGTCTCATTGCTCGATGAACTTATTAACAGTGCAGTAAATTTCTTTAAACAAAATCTTTTTAAATCCTTTATTATTAACTTTTGTTCGTGTGTTTCTGGCAAAAATCTTCGGACAGCTGATTGACGCACTTCCCGTCATCCTATCGAACTGAAAACTTCCCACGAACATTAATTGCTTGGAACCAACTGAACAATGCCGCCGTGGACTCGACATCGAGAGTTTCAAGGCTGCCCTGGCACCCACTAGGAGCCGTCAGGATAGCCGCACCGTTTCCCGATCCGTTGCACAAATGCCAATACTTGGATGCAGCAGCGTAGTCTATCAGAATCAGAATCAGAATTGCACAAAGACTTTTTCCCTATGACTACATAGTCTTTCAAATTTACAGCCCTGCCCACAAACTCCAAAAATAATTTCTTCCCGTTTTTTTTTGTCCAAGTGGAATGTGAACGAAATATAATGTGTTCAATGCTTCCGTATCTTGGTGTGGAGATCAATTTATGTGCTTTGTGTTTGTGACGTATTTGGGTTTTCAGTAAAAAAAAAAAAATAGTATGTTTTTTGAAGGGGAAAAAGAAGGAAATATAATACGTGTTTTTCCCAGCAGTTTACCCCTTTACCCCTCCTCAATAAATGATAAATCACACGCCATTTCATAAATGTAAACAAAAAGGAATAGAAAAAACTTGGTTTTCAAGTGGTTTTAGGAGACTAAGTTATATATATATATATATATATATATATATATATATATATATATATATATATATATATATATATATATATATATATATATATATATATATATATATATATATATATATATATGTGTGTGTATATATATCCGTAAATATTTGAACATCAAAATTCAAGTTTTTAATTTCTCATTTCATAATAACTTCCACGTATAAAAAGCACAACCAAAGCTGGGACCTACTGTGACATAGTCGACCTTCACAACCTCGTGCGGGAACTCGAACTGGCTCGTGTAGGCCAACAGGAAACTCTCCGGGACGTTCGGCTCCACCAGGATGACCGTCAGGGTCTCGTAGAAGCTGTCGAGCGTGAAGTAGATGGGCTCCTGGTTCCTGAACACGAGGGAGCCCTCGTCGATGGTCGACCCGTACAGCACGAACAGGCACGGCAGGGCGAGCAGCATCGCGGACGTTATCCAGGTCCGCTTGTAGAGCGTCATCTTCTTGTACACAATCCCGCGCAGCTGCTGCTGGATGAGCCGTAACCCCGTGCACTTCTCAAAAGAGAACTGCTCTTCGTACTCTTTGGTATCTGGTTCGTGAGCTCTTCCCGAATGATGCACTAAAGTTGATATTAAAAAAATCAATTTTAACTTTTTTTTAAATACCGCTTTTACAAAATGTATTTTTAAAAATTTAAAAATTAATCTCCCCCCCCCCCCTCAAACTTCTATGTTCTATTTTTCAGCTTAATTTGAGATCAGTAAATGGGTCGAAATCGACAAGCTAGGTTTGATCACAAGGGAAGTAACAGACGCACAGAGTGAGCTAAGAAAGAGTCATACGACGTCATTGTATTTCAAGGATGCCTCACGCCATTTGAGTCATACGACTGTAACAACTCTTTAAATTTTGTGTAATTATTAAAGGACTGCATTCAAGCTGAGGAAGTCTCTATGTTGAAACGCTTTAATCTTATTTTCCTGTGCTTAAAGTCAACCTTCCACATCTCTCGTTTTGTTATTTCATTTAAGTTTTGTGGAACATTTCTTTTATTCTTTTTAGTACATTTAGGGAAAGCACGTTTTAAACAAACAGAAAAAAAACACCTTTATTTTTGTTTAAATATTTATTTTAGTTCAATTTTTAGTTCTATTGTACATAGTTTTAGCTCAACTGGAGATCAGAAAGACCCGCAGAGAGCAATCGCTCAAGAGTCACTGGAAGTCATTGGTGACGTACTGATCATAGAGGATTGCATTGTCATCGGGGGTGGGTAGATGGAAAAAGACTCAGGTCAACTGGACATCAGGAACAGGGGGGGGGGGAAGAGTAAATTGAGATGCGAGATTTCACCATGAACATTTTAACATGAACGGCCTGGGGAATACTCACCTCAACTACTTTAAACCTACCGACAGCCACAGCTCTACTCTTCTAAATCCTTTGAGGACTGCATTGCCCTTTTTCAACTACTTCATCTTTGAAGACTCGGTCAGAGTATCAACAAACAAACAAAATATAAACTTGTGCGGATGCTCTGGAAGAACTTCTTAAATCCACATCTCCGCACTCTTAGAAATCTAGCATAAAAACACCTACAGAAAACGATATATTATCGTGTACAAGCCACCGGTAATTTATCTCTGGAAGAACTTCTTAAATCCACATCTCCGCACTCTTAGAAATCTATCATAAAAATACCTACAGAAAACGATATATTATCGTGTACAAGCCACCGGTAATTTATCTCTGGAAGAACTTCTTAAATCCACATCTCCACACTCTTAGAAATCTATCATAAAAATACCTACAGAAAACGATATATTATCGTGTACAAGCCACCGGTAATTTATCTCTGGAAGAACTTCTTAAATCCACATCTCCACACTCTTAGAAATCTATCATAAAAATACCTACAGAAAACGATATATTATCGTGTACAAGCCACCGGTAATTTATCTCTGGAAGAACTTCTTAAATCCACATCTCCACACTCTTAGAAATCTATCATAAAAATACCTACAGAAAACGATATATTATCGTGTACAAGCCACCGGTAATTTATCTCTGGAAGAACTTCTTAAATCCACATCTCCACACTCTTAGAAATCTATCATAAAAATACCTACAGAAAACGATATATTATCGTGTACAAGCCACCGGTAATTTATCGTAAAGACTTGGACTAAGTGATAACTTGTCGATATCAGCTTTTTTTGATTTAACGATAAAAAGCTGTTATTTTTCAGCACACCGTTAACGATACTTTGCAGTTGGAACTATTTTGATGTGATGATTTACAATAACCAATAATGGGTTGAAAATTAAATGTAATGGCGTTTTAAATTTTACCCTTCCATCAATCATTCTTCCAGAGATACCAATTAGAAGAATGTCCAAAAAAGACGTCACTCTGCAGCCGATGTATTCTATTTCAGTGCAACCGCCAACTTACTTTTATCAACAGAAGATTCTGTAATCGCTGTCCCTCTTTCAAATTTTGAAAATTTCTCCTGTTTCTCGGAACTGTCTGGGCTAAAAAAGAAACGCTACAGATAATTAAACGCGTCTTCAAATCAGAATTGTAGCTAAGGTGTTAGGTGCCCGGGTAAAAGTTTCATTTAAAGCGCCTCACTTTCTATTTTTCAACTCGTAAACCCATTATTTTTATCAATAACATAATATCAAAGCACATTTTCGCGCCCCTAACTAGTCTGGCGCCCAGGGACATATTCCCCCGCCCCCGCTTATCTACGTCTCTGCTTCAAAAAATCTTGTTTTTTCTTCTCAAAAATAATAATGACCACTCAACATATATAATTTATTTTAACACTTTAATGGTGCGCCCAAGTTAATGCTCGTGTTACTTAGGAAGAAGAAGAAGAACAACAACAAAAACTAAACATTTTGCGATGAATGTCGGTAAAAAAAATGAACTGTCGGTACTAAAAATATAAATTAAAGGACTGCATTCAAGACTATAGGCTTCTGGGTATGAAGGTGTTCCAGATACATAGCTTCAGCTCTGTGTGCTATGCGTGCTTCAGTTGAAGGTGTTCCAGATACATAGCTTCAGCTCTGTGTGCTATGCGTGCTTCAGTTGAAGGTGTTCCAGATACATAGCTTCAGCTCTGTGTGCTATGCGTGCTTCTCTGTGTGCTATGCGTGCTTCAGTTGAAGGTGTTCCAGATACATAGCTTCAGCTCTGTGTGCTATGCGTGCTTCAGTTGAAGGTGTTCCAGATACATAGCTTCAGCTCTGTGTGCTATGCGTGCTTTAGTTGAAGGTGTTCCAGATACATAGCTTCAGCTCTGTGTGCTATGCGTGCTTCAGTTGAAGGTGTTCCAGATACATAGCTTCAGCTCTGTGTGCTATGCGTGCTTCAGTTGAAGGTGTTCCAGATACATAGCTTCAGCTCTGTGTGCTATGCGTGCTTCAGTAATGATGATGTGGCGATGTTTCGTTTTAACGTGTTCCCCCACTGTACACCACCGCTGTGATGTTGTACATCTCACCTTCAAACTGTACACCTTACCTTCGTTTTGCACACCTTACCTTCATTTTCTTGGCATCTTACCTCTCAAAATCGTCTCCCACTTGGTCCGCCTCCTTACAGACCCTGTAATATTTGACAGAGATGCATTTAATACATATATTCTCATCAAATCTTAGTGTAGATTTCGAGGACTCCATTCCTGAACTTTTTCAGAATGGAGATAACCAGGACTCTCCTAGGAACCAGTGAACCGGGACCTCCATAATAACCAGTGAACCAGGACTCTCCTAGGAACCAGTAAACCAGGACTTTCCTAAGAACCAGTGAACCAGCACTGCCCTAAGAACCAGTGAACCAGGAATTATCTAAAAACCAGTGAACCAGGACTGCCCTAAAAACTAGTGAACAAGGACTTTCCTAAGAACCAGTGAAGCAGAACTGCTCTAAAAACCAGTGAACAAGGGCTGCCCTAAGAACCAGGGAACCAGGACTCCTCTAAGAACCAGTGATCCGATTATCTAGTTCATTGAAAGCACAAGTACGATCAATTCCCTTAAACACGACTTTCGACTGTTTAAAAAATAACCCTCCAATGCAGGCCTGCACAACTCCAAATGTAAGGCGGGCCGTAATACTTAATGAAAAACGTGTGCAAGCAGAAATAAAATAGAACAGGGGGGAAAAATATAAAGAACATTTTAATAATAAGAATGTGCCGTTACTGTGCGGGCCGCAAATTGGGTGCCGACCAATGTTCCCTTTAAGCTGCGCGGCTGCGCGTCCGCGCGTCCGCGCAGTGATCTTACAGACGCAGCGCAGCAGTTTTGAGTGCCGCGCAGCTAATTTCCATTTAAGTGTGTGTTTGTGTCTGTAGGTTGTAAAATTTTGCGCACAAAAAAATTGATGCTGTAAAAATTTGCACACAACTTTATGATTTTGCACACGAACCAACAAACCTTAGAGGGAACATTAGTGCACTAGTGTATTTCTTATTATACTGTAAGCATCGTACTTAGTTTACTTAATGTAAAGTTTCAAGTAGCGAGTCAGCTATGTCATTGAAACTAAGAGAGTGTTTTTTTAGTCTTATATATTTTTTTTTGGTGTTTTTTTTTTTTAAATATAGCCAAAACAAAAGTAATTCCATTTGAATTGATCAGCTTCTTAACTTGTCCTAAAAAGTGTAAATTTAACTTAATGTGTCGTGAATATAAATTTAAAGAATATTTCTTGGTTAAAAATTTAAAAAAAACAAAACAAAAAAAAACACACGCTCAAACACAAGGCACCTGATGAAAACATCTTCAAGGGTGGTGCTTTTGAGGTAATGCGAATGTATGTGCATTTCCTCTTTCTGGTTTTCAAGGATCTTGAGGAGTTTGGACATGGGTGAGATCTTGTCCTCGGGGATGCGAAACACAATCTCATCCTCTAGATCAGCCTGCCAAAAGCAGAGCAAGAAGGGTCATGAAGACTCAAGTCTGGACACTTTACCCAAATCAACAGAAAAGCCACATGTTTGCTAAATCAACTCTAGACAAAGTGGTAAACGTTTAATACAAACATTGCTCTATAACTATTCTTCAAAGGCATCAAAAAGCTCCTCGCTCAAGGCATTAAATAGCTACTCACTAAAGGCATTAAATAACTACTTACCAAGGGCATTAAATAACTACTTACTAAGGGCATTAAATAGCGACTCAATAAAGTCATTAAATAACTACTTACTAAGGGCATTAAATAGCTACTTACTAAGGGCATTAAATAGCTACTTACTAAGGGCATTAAATAGCTACTCAATAAAGGCATTAAATAACTACTTACTAAGGGCATTAAATAACTACTTACTAAGGGCATTAAATAGCTACTCACTAAAGGCATTAAATAACTACTTACTAAGGGCATTAAATAACTACTTACTAAGGGCATTAAATAGCTACTCACTAAAGGCATTAAATAACTACTTACTAAGGGCATTAAATAGCTACTCACTAAAGGCTTAAATGGCCACTCGCCTAATGCATTTAGAAGCTACTGACCAAAGATATCACATAGCTACTCACCAAAGGCATTGAATAGCTACTCACTAAAGCCACCAACTAACTACTCACTAAAGCCACCAACTAACTACTCACTATAGCCACCGCGTCGGGCAATGTGTGTGTTACAACTCTTGAAACGAAATTGAAACTGCAGTCCTCAGCTTTCATGATGGTCAACTCGTACCCAGTTCCTGCCAATGCAAGTAAATGCATCATGTATAATTCAAATTCTTTATTGCGTGAAAATGGATGGTATACAATAGAGTGGATATTTTGGCATGAGACGGTGGACAGCATAGAACGACATGGATAGCATAGGTGAATTGGAAATAATGACTGAAATAGATGTAACATTGTAACAAACCCATTGGTCCAGCATACAAATGCGATAACTTTTTACCTAAGAGCTATAGGTTCTTTTTAGATATACTTGTATACTTATGTGTTATTTTCTACCGTAGACTGGGTCATCTCAAATCTACACATAAATATATGTGTTACCTTCTAGCTTAAGCAACTGGGTCTTGTAAGAGCTACATGAAAACCTATGTGATCCCTTCTAGCTTAAGCAACTGGATCTTATCAAATCTACATATATACTTGTTTGTTGCCTTCTAGCTTACATCAATTGGGTCTTCTCAGATTCAAATTAAAAAAAACCACAGGATAATGCTGCACGCATTGTTCTTTGCAAACGCAAATTTGACTATGCTAAAACACTTCTGAGAGAGTTGCATTGGCTGCTGGTCCGCGTTCGCGGACAAAAATGCAACTCTGTGCTACCACTGCTTGCATGAACTGGCACGGCCTATCTCAAAGCGCTCATGACGACTTATGCACCCACTAGACAACTCCGCTCATCCGATAGTGGCAAACTTTCGATATCATGTGTTCGCCTGGATACTTACGGAAAGCGCACTGTCGCATTTGCTGGCCGGACAATGCGGAACACACTTCCTGACGCTCTCAGAAACAGCCAGACACCGGAGTCTTTCAAAAACCGAATTGAAAACACATCTATTTCGCAAACATCTGCTAGGGTGATGTTTTCTATCATCTTTTCCAGCTGGCTATTATCTCCTAGATGTATATTGGCCGGTGTTGTTTATGTTTGCCAGTGATGAAAGACTTAGAGTGGGTATTCTCGTATGTATTTTTTGAAATGTTGTGTTTTGAATTTCAATGTGGTATAATATAGATTTTTTCATTCTATTGACTTTGTACCGCGCTTCAAGCCTTTGGGGATGAATCGTGATTTTCAAATAAACTTTATTAGTATTATTATCTACATATAAACATGTATTTTGAATTTTTTTATAAATTTATTTTGGACTTCTCTCCACAGATGTTAAGGCTCAGTGGTGAAACATACATACCAACACACAAGCACACGCACCTGACACGCATGAATACATTCACGTATATGCAGTGCCGGCCCTACAGTTCCTGGCGCCCCTGGCAAGCTTAACCTTAGCGCCCCCTTTTAAAATCATCCTTAACATTTTTGCAAAGGAAAAACAAGGGATTTACCTCGTCAATTTTTGTTAAACAGTATAAAAAAACAATTACATTTTCTTTTTCTTAACTTGTATTTGGACAGTATGCACAATTAGCCTACCGATGACATATTTTTTTTATTCCTAGCCTTCAGATCTGCAAATCTTTTTTATCGCCATTTCTATTTTCATAATGCTTTGAATATCATTTTTCTATAGACAAAGAAATCATCCTGTCTTGAGACATGGATGAACGTAAATGTGTTCTCTCGCAAGCAGCTACAGTAATGGGTATTGTACGCGCTGTTCTCAATGCTAACCATAGATCTGGCATGACATCCTGTAGCTTATTGGTGGAAAATAATTTAGCGTCTTTTATTGGAAGCTTACAGTACACGGAAATATATCTAGTTCAGTCAACAGATCTCATCCATTCCTATCGCCGTTTCCCCAATACCTTAAATTAATCTCCAAACCTTGACATGCTATTTTGAGCTTGTCTTTGTCTGGCAGATTCTTTTATTTCATGAATTTATCCCCTCGTGCTATTGTAACTTTGCAAATGTTCACATCTCTCTGATAAGGAATTGATAGCTCTGTCCAAAAATATATCAAACACGTCATTTTTTTTTTTTTTTTTTTTTAAATATTTTTTTTTTTGGTCATCCGCGACAGTGCCCTGTTATACATCCCGTCAATTTCTTGTTATGCATCCGCGACAGT